ACTGTACTGTGGCAGAGCAGTGCTTTGGGCTAAATGCTGACATCAGCATACTAACATGCTCACAATGACAATGCTGACAAGCTGATGTTCAGTAGGAGTCACGTCGACATCTGATAATAAGCGCTACTCACCAAGTGAAGCTGAGGCAGATAGGAAACTTATAACCAAACACCAATGAAATCCCAAGTATTAAACTAAATTAAGATGGGCATGGAGTACCAAATATCATTGATATTTGGCTAATAAGCAAAGGTCTTTAACCACTATTAAGATGACACCTGCATCTTCCTCCAGCCGAGGCAGCTGTTTATGGTATGCATCTTATCTTTGGTAACCTTTTGCCTCAGAAAGATCCTCAACCTTGACAACAGTGAACTTGATGACACAACAAAAGGGTCAAAGCAGTTCAGAAAACTGGCTGACCTTGAATCAAGAGTCCTTAATACAGCGTACTACTTGGCAGGGCTCTACACTCACGTGTATTTAAAAGATGGTAACGTTTTTGAGATATAACTTGCAGATTGCAGGGTCGCTGAGTTAACTAAGGGATAAGAAAAGAATGTTGAAATACAGGATGCACGTGGGGCAACAAACAAAGAGCAGGAATGCATGGTGGTGCATAAATGCTGCACTCTTCAAACAGCATAGACTTTAGGCAATGGTTAGAAAGCATTCTGACCAATTCAAATCCCTAAGTGAATCCATTCGGGTTTGAGAACACTTATGTTATTAATTAAAACTCAAAGGTTTGGAGGTGAGGTTCTTGCTTCACAAATGATCTTAGAGCAGAGAGGGCAGAGTGCACACAAACCCAAATGCAGCCACGTTTCATTTTGGCTTGCCATAAAGTTCATCATGAGATTAACGCTGATCAGCGACAGCCATAGTAAGTGAAGTGTTTGATGTCTTGGAGCTCTCTGGTCTGGCTCATATCACAGTACTACACTATGTTTTTCTCTGTAACTCCTCAGGAGTAAAGTGCCCCTCCCAACCACTTCCTCTGATTGTAACCAGAAAAGACTCACAGGAACATTTGTGTTCAGTTTTCCCCGACTGTATAACTTTGTTCATTTGCATTGTGGTCTATTGATACTTCGGAGCATAATGGTAACTTGGGCTGCAACTCACAATTGTTTTTATTATTAATGCATCTTCTAGTTATAGTCTTGATGTATAGTTTTGTCCGTTCCAACCCTCAGAACCTTCAGTTTAATGATGTAGAACTGTGAAAAACAGGAACTCTCTTTATTAAAAGAGGCTGACAACTGTGTTTTCTGACATTTGTGTCACGTGGAGCTTGTGATATATTACAAGGTCAAGTGCTTTGTGGGTTTCATGACCGCTGGTCTTTTTAAGTTGGACTTTATTAATTCAGACCACCTTCCCAGTGGGTTATCAAAGCCAGATATTTGTTGATTTAGATTTATAAGGTCGTGGCCTAGTTCTGCCATGTGTATTGCCCTCAGAGATGGATTACACTGTAGGGGGCTATCAAATCCTCCCCTTCCCCCCACTCTTTGTGCATAATGTGTATTTCCTGCTGGGTTTAAGTACCCATCAGATCAGCTGGAATACTCCCCTGGTGTGTTGCAGTGTGTTGGTTGGTGTGTAATTAAACACACATATGCACCATGTAAGCATCATATTAACCTAAAAACCAGAAAGGTGGAAACACCAATCCACTAAATAATTTCAGCTCTAAAAGGAAAACGAATATTGATCATGTTGCAATTTATAAAAATATGTATTCCCCCATCAATATCTTTGCACATCCCGCACTACACTGTAATATTTTACTTAAGAGTCTGTGTTTTTTAAGTATATTTTTCATAGTTGTATTGTCATTTTTACATAATGACTTTTAAAGTGTTAAAGTACTATGCCTGTATCTTTATTTCCTCTTAAAATGAATTCACAGGCATAGTTTATTGTATGCACCAAACACCATGGGAATTTCTGGTAAGTGAGAACAGTAAACTACTTGGCAATAAACTTTATTTTGATTCTGAAGGTCAACTTGGAGCTTTATGGGGCCTGTGTGGCAGCCAACCTCTCATCATGCAGCAACAGGAAATAAATATGCTATTTTCACATAGATCTGAAACTTCATAGTGATGCTCTATGTTTAAAAAGGGTGCTCACCTGCCACCGTCCATAAGTGAGCATGAAGAGACAGAAGGGTATGGCTGTCCCCGTCATAGCGTGCGTGGACGGCATGCTGTACTCGGAGTTGTAGAAGACCTCCACCTTCACCACAGGGGGGGACGCGGGCCGTGACCAGCGGACCATGTCTTTGGTGGACTGTCCCACGAACAGGTTCCAGGCCCAGACCACGATGAGTCTCCGGCTGACCAGGGCGTCGATGTTCCAGAAGAGGAAGGGGAAGAAGACGATGAAGAACATCTCATTGCCCAGCTCCGTCCCAAACGTGAACAGGTAGAACAGAAACTTGTTGTGGATGAGGAACTCCTGACCCACGTCTCCGGTCAGGGAGTTTTTCCGCAGGGGTTTCGCTCTGGTTGTGTCCAGGTCGACGGACGGAGCCTCAGGCCCGGCTGTAATGTCACCCAGCATCCCCTTCGCATCCCCGGCTGCTCCGTTCACAACACTACTGTCCGGTCCCCTTTTCCTCAGCCCGGGGCTTTCAGGCTCCGACTCCCCGCGGTCCGACTCCCCGCGGTCCGGCTCGCTCGGTTTAACCGGAAATGTCCCTTGAACACCGCACACTTTTTGAAACCTGGCTACATGGCGGGGGTCTTGGAGATAATTACACATCTGTACAAACGTCTTTACAAACTCGGTCGCCATGACTACAATAACTGTTGCTTTTTTAACGGGTTGTTTTTAAAACTGCTTCGTCGTAAAAATGGAGTTCATGTTCGTCGACCGAGATTAAAGGGAAGAGGAACTCGGCTGCCGTGGCATTCCTCTTAACGAAATAAAACAACAGTGTGGGAGCTAACAGCACGGAGCAGCTACGCGGCACTACTGCCTGGTATCCGCATTCAAAACACAGACCTTGTACAGCGGAGGAGGCGGCAGCATCCAAAGTCCGTTACAGTTAACCATTACTTTCCGGTAAATCCCATTCCATCCAACTAACTGCGTCAGTCAGGCCGTTATTCCTGTTTCACTCCTCTTCTTCTTCTTCTTGTTCTTCTTCTTCTTCTAGTACTTCAACTATGTGTGTCTTCTTCGTTTGACTTTATTTTAGTCGGTCTCTATCAAAAATATTGGAGTTACCACCCCTGCTGGAGTTGCGATAAATTACACATAAATAAAAAAAGATTGCCTCAAAAGTACTTGTTGTGCTGGATGACCAGTGGTAGACAGTGGGGGGGAGAGGTACTCAGATCAAATTCAAAGGAGTTTTATAGGCATGACCATGAAAAACATAGCATTGCCAAAGCATGTAGTACAAGCATACAGTCTATGAGTACAAGGTGTTAACAAAATAAAAGAACACTCAGCAACATACATTGTAACGATACATGTGGCAAACAGCAAACACATTAACTTACTCACTGTTCCTGAGGTTGTGGCAGGTAAACAAATATTCTGCTGCTCTAGTGAGCTCTCCTAACAGGATTGTGGTCAAATCCAGGATGTTTGTTATTACATTTGGGGAAATATTTTGTTCGGATTGGTTTGAGTTGTGTTCATTCTGTCAGAAAGTGCAACTCTGTTTCTACTTTGTCTGATCTTGTAAAAGTAGAAGAACCAGAGTGAAGGAATACTCTGTTACAAGCAAAAGTCCAGTAATCAAAATGTTACTCAAGTAAAAGTACTAAAGTACAAGCATCAAAATGTACTTAAAGTACCAAAAGTTAAATTACTCATTATTCAAATTTGCCCATTTTAGAATAATATTATGTAATATGTTTGTATTATAATTATTGATGCATTATAGTGTTTATCGAAGCTGGTAATGGAGCAGCTAGTTTTAATCACTTTGTATACTGCAGGGTAGCTTTTGAATTGTACTGCAGGTGTAACTAACGTCTTATTTAAGTGTTGATTATATTTCACATCATTAATCAAAATCTAAAAAGTAACTAGGTACTAAATAAATGTAGTGGACTAAAAGTACACGATTTAGCTCTGAATTGAAGTGTGTAGAAGTACAAAGTAGCAAAAAAGTACAAGTCTCTCTAAATGGTATTACAAGTACATACTTGAGTAAATGTTATACGTTACTTTTACACCACTGGTGGTAAAATAAGTATTCAGAATATTTACTTAAAATACTAGTAATAAACTGAAAATATTCTATTGCAAGTAAAAGTCCTTCATTTAAAACCTAACTTGAGTTAAATGATGAATGTATAATCACTAAAATGTAAAATCAAAGAGAATAAATATCGATACATCTCCAAATAATTTACCATTTTAAACAAAAACATAATTTTCTCAATTTCTACAACATTGTAATATAAATCTCAGGTCCGTGTATGTATGATCAACGTTATATGTCAACAAAGGTACTTTAAATTCAGTCTAATTCATGTGTAGGCTACGGGTCTGAAAATCCAGAGACCACAATAACACACGAAAGCAGCGACATCCCCTTTCAAAATAAAAGCATCGAATTTAATGTTCTTTATTTTTATTTTATATATGCTGATGTGACTTTTACCCATGATGTGTACTAGATATATCTTAAAGCTGATTGTTATTTAGTGGGTAAGGATCTATTTATCTTAAATCTGTTGCATGTTTTGGACTAAGCTCATGTCACGCCTCAAGTAAATTCCAACGTGGCTGGATTTGAAATATAAATATAACAGTTTAGCGATATTAGATCAAATGTACCACATGTTCCACATCTCATAATCTTCAATTTGTGTTAAGTAAAACTGAAACAATGTCACGTTCAGAAAAAGGCTTTTATTTTTAAAACTTCAGCCCGGAAGTTCCTATTATAAATCTGGTAGTTTAACTGTGGTGGTGCACGCTCCGGCCAGGCAGGGATCTGAGAGGGTATTAAACAACAGCACGACCACCGAGCAGCTCTGAGTGTGTGTCCGGAAAACTCACAATGCATGGGGGCAAGAGAGGACTGGTGGCCCCGCAGAACACTTTTCTGGAAAATATTGTCCGGCGCTCCAGCGGTGAGTTTTACTTTGAAAGAAAAAAACAATAATTAATTGATGTTAATCCGGCATGTCAGTGAAGGTACCACACAGGGCTGCACGGGATGTAAAACCTCTCATGTTGTTTCTATGTTATTTAACGAGAAGCAGCTCCACTTTGTTGGTGATTTCACATGTTTTCTTTATTACACTTAAATATATGTTCTGATGAATTGATTAACAAACTCAAATAGTGTAGTGTAATTAACATAATAGAGTATTATTGTCACCCTAAATACACATACTGTTTCACTTGTTTATATATACAAACAGGTTTAATGATCTGTCCAAGTACATTTAAGGCTCTTTTTAATAAATATGTCCTTTTATTTCTGATGAGCTATTGTAGATGCAGGACTATAGGAAAACATGTTTTAGTCAAAACAAAAATGTGGTGTGGGTACTTTTATGTATGTGCATTATACAATAAATAAATAAATCACAATAACAATTCAGCAGAAGATGTTGCAGAGGTGCTGATCAGTCACACCATTTTTGTTATATTTTACATGAAACCCTAAAGTGATCATAATTTAATTCATTAATATTTGTTAGTATGTATTATTTTTTTATACAGAAAGGTAATACTGTTATTAAAAATGCATTCATTTATATGAAAGTGAGGCTAAGTGTGAGATGGATGGTTTTCATTACAGAAGAAGTGCACAGTGTAAGACAAACTGTAAACTGTGTAAAGGCAGAAAATGAACCATGAATTAATAATTTATACAAATTCAGTCGGGGACAATAACCTAAAGTTTAGAAAGTATTGTCTCTCTCCTGCAAACGGTCGCAGAGTAATTATTGTCTCTCTCCTGCAAACGGTCGCAGAGTAGACTCATTGTTTACAGCATAAACTAATCCGACACACAAACGTTAAGTTCAAGATAAACAAGCCGAAGCTTCGAGTGTGACAGCTTTAATGCGGACTGTAAATAGCAGAAAACGTCCTCAGTATTTTCTCTCGAGACAGCTCTGTCCAAACGGCTGTAAAGCTGGAGAACTTTCCTCATCAATATTTAATAACATTAGGACTGGAACATAAACATTTTATCAACAATTATTTCTACCAAGTGACTCGTCTGAATACCAATGTTTGCTGATTCTTTCTATATTAATGATCTTGTGTCTATTATGCATTATATGGTTATTAAAATGATGTGGAAGAGTTTGCTTTAGGGTGATTTGAATAATTGCAATCATTGGAAGTACAGATTTGCAGAGGTTTTCTCTTATTCATGACACTGGTTAGCTGGACTCGTAGGAGAGTTTAAAAACGAACAAAACATCGAATTATCCAATCCAGAAACAGCAAATCAGTCACTTGAATGACGCTGCAGTTGCATAACTCCAGTTGCAATGATTGGATGGCCTTACTTTCCTCAACAAAACCCCCAAAAGGTGGATCAACAGCTGCACTTGAGTCTGCAGGGGGGTAGAGTTGTGATGAGTTTCGTTTCTCACTGCTGTATTGTTGCTGTATTTTGGTGCAGAAACCAGTTTCCTGTTGGGAAATGCACAGATCTTGGAGTGGCCGGTCGTTTACAGCAACGATGGATTCTGCAAGCTATCTGGATACCACCGAGCTGAAGTCATGCACAGGAGCAGCTCGTGCAAGTAAGATATGAGTGTCTGTTGTATAATGGCCTGACGAGAGCTAACATACATGAGTGAATATAGCAATATGCAAATCTTTTTACTTTTGACATTTGGATCACAGCTCCAGCTCCTCCTGATGAGCAAGGATTTAGCATTTTAGTAATCTGACAGGGACTGTGCTCATTGATCAACAGAAGAATGAAGAACAACTGTAAATGAGCCAAATTTAGACCCAAAGGCTTATTTTCATCTGGTGTCCCTTGTTAGATGTTAAAAAGTAAAAAGGCACCCTGAAATCTCTGATCTTTATATGCATACGAAATATATCTTGAAAAGCCCAACTAATTATGGAAGTGGTAAAATTGGACTGAGGACCAGGAATACAAATATTACGCTCTACTGTTGCCATCACAAGGAAATGTGAACACTGATTTGCAACAGCAGAAAAAGAAAAAGTGTTCAATCCACTTCAGTATCTTCTCTCTTTGACCTTCTGCCTTTATTTTCTTTATTTTAACATGCTCCATTTTGCTTCTTGGTTTTCTCTCTCCCTTATTTTGCAGTTTCATGTATGGTGACCTGACTGATAAGAACACAATAGACAAAATCAGACAGACCTTTGACAACTATGAGTCCCAGTTCTATGAGGTGCTGCTCTATACAAAGAATAGTGAGTACATTTATTGAATTCTATGTGTTTTACCAAATCGGTTATTTGTATAATAAAAATGTGTTTATGTACAATTTTTGATTTCACACTGCTTAAATGTAATCTGTTATCCATAGGACTGCCAATATGGCTCTACATGCAGGTAGCTCCAATCAGAAATGAGAACGACAAGGTGGTGCTCTTCCTCTGCACCTTCAGAGACATTACACTTTTTAAACAGCCGATAGAAGACGAGTCAACTAAAGGTGAGACGTGTTTATGAGCCAAATGGTTTAAACTTGCAATCATTGTTTCAACGTTGTCATGATAAACTATTGGAGTTACATTTTGGTTTCTTATTCCACGCACTAAAGGCTGAGAACACACATTTACTTCACATTCAGATCAAATTATTGTCAAATGTCTCATAATGGTCCAGGCAGTGTAAGCAAAGCTAAATGTATCCTCACACACCATGGAGGGTGCAGCGCAGCCGAAAGTCTCGAGCACACATGAGTGACTTAACAGACATTTGTTTCCTGGTATGTAACATACAACTGTCCAGGTGTTGTGTGTGCGGGTCAGTGAACACTGGTCTCTGAGGGTGCCATGTCCCAGGGGATCAAGTGTGCCACTAAGACTTTCACATACGGTTTCAAGCAGAAACAAAGGACACTTGGGCCACCATTACCATCCACAGAGATGATAAATATTGATCATAAATGGAGGGGATAAAAGAAAAAATCATTGCCATGTACTAAATAGTACAGTATTTTCAAATTATGCACAAATGAATTTTATAGCATTTTTGGTTTTAGTATTTCTTCCTTTCTGCTTAGAAATGCAGTTAGAAGTCTGTCATGATGATGTATTCATGCACTATGGTATGGATTGAAAAATGACTCTCTTTCAAAACTGAGGGTATCTTGTAATCCTACCTCGCATACTTGTCGATACATTTTCCAAGCAGTGGAAAACACTTAATTTATTATTAAATCAGAAATGTAGTCTTTTCTTCAAGAAGAACATTATAATTAAATTGTTATTGCCAATGCTGAAAGATGACTATTCTGTATTGTTCACTGCTTTGAAATCATTGTTATTTGTCGTAAAAACGTAATTTGAGGCATCTTTTTATGAATATTTGTGCTGCGTTCCTGCATTTATTTGATTGTTTGTTTTCTCTGTGCAGGATGGACAAAGTTTGCCAGACTGACACGGGCTCTGACCAACAATCGCAACGTGGTGCAGCAGTTAGCTCCACTGAGCAGCACCGAGGTCTGCCACAAGCCGTCCAGACTGGCCGAGGTGAGCAGCGTCCAGGGGTTAGAGAAGAGTTTGGTTTCCACTGGCAATAAAAATACCTCAAGCTAAATAAAGAAAGTGCCTTAAAAGTAGAACATGTCGAGTCTGTAAACGAATATTGCTCCAATAAATACATTAGAATGCTTCCCAATTAAAAGAAAATAGTGAAAAATCCACCCTAAAACTGCAATGGACACTTTCCAAGATTATGCACACATAAAAAGATTTCTGACAGGATTACTGTTCCTTGATTCTGAACTATTGATGTTAAATATTCCCTCAATGAAAGGCTCTCCAGCTGGGATCAGAAATCCTCCCTCAGTACAAGCAGGAAGCCCCGAAGACCCCCCCACACATCATCCTCCACTACTGCACCTTCAAGACGACCTGGGACTGGGTCATCCTCATCCTCACCTTCTACACCGCCATCATGGTGCCGTATAACGTCTCTTTTAAGACAAAGCAAAACAATTTGGCCTCGCTGGTGCTGGACAGCGTCGTGGACGTCGTCTTCCTTATTGACATCGTGCTGAACTTCCACACCACCTTCGTGGGTCCTGCTGGGGAGGTGGTTTCAGACGCCAGGCTCATACGCATGAATTACCTGAAGACGTGGTTCGTCATCGACCTGCTGTCCTGTCTGCCCTACGACATCATCAACGGCTTTGAACATGTAGATGAGGTGATTGAGCTTTTATGAATTGACTGCTAAAATGGCCCGTGTGTTGGTACCTGTCATTGCGTATGAATATGAACACATTTCTGATTGACTGTTCTTTTGTAGGATATCATCGCCTCTGCTACTCAAACAAGTCATCTTCGGGAGTCTTTCCACAGGAATACCACACGATCAGAAGATTCGTTTATGCCAGTAAGGACATTTTACAAAGCTGCTTTGAGCAATTGCTTTGTATATTGACAATGGATGTAATGACAGCATGTCAAATAATCAAGTTATACTGTAGGGACAAACCCATAAAGAAATATCACTTTCCCACCGCAAACAGCAGACAGACAGAGTTGGTGAGTGTAATGGAGTTGGTGGTATACTGAAGAGTGGGAAAATATAGGAAGATAATATAACAAAGTCAGTTGATAGTTTATCAAAAAAAGAAAAGAAAAACCTTCTTTTCAAAAGTACAAAGGAATGCAGTAGGGCTCCCACTGGTGGTTATTTTCATTATCAATGAAATTGAAATTGAAATTGAAATTGCTCTTATTGTCATTTCACAGTACAGGTACTATGTAACGAAATTGTTCCTCTGCATTTGACCCATCCTATTGTTAGGAGCAGTGTGCTGCCGTGGACGGCGCCCGGGGAGCAGTGTAGGGAAAGGTGCCTTGCTCAGGGACACCTCGGTAGCACTTGGTCTTGCCGGGACTCGAACTGGTGACCTTCCAGTTGCCAAGCCAAGTCCCTATCGACTTCGCCACCACCGCCGCCGCCCGCAATGAATCTGTTGATTATGTTTTGAAGAAATTATGTTTTGAAGAAATAATAATAATTAAGGTTCAAGGTTTTAAATTGTTTGTTGAGCTCGGGCCAACAGTCCCATAGATATTCAGTGTATGATCATAAAAGACTACAAAACCAAGAAAATATTTACATCTAAACATTTGGGAAGATTTTGACCCACCTCGCTCCCGCTTCTCACAGCAGGGTCTCAGCAGCCTGTTCAGCTCCCTGAAGGTGATCCGCCTGCTCCGGTTGGGCCGGGTGGCTCGGAAGTTGGACCACTACCTGGAGTACGGAGCAGCTGTCCTGCTTCTGCTGGTGTGCGTCTTCGGTCTGGTGGCCCACTGGTTGGCCTGCATCTGGTACAGCATCGGGGACTATGAGGTCATCGATGAGACCACCAACACCATAAAGACGGACAGCTGGCTCTACCAGTTGGCCCTGAGCATCGGGACTCCTTACCGATACAACGCCAGCGGGACGGGACAGTGGGAGGGGGGTCCCAACAAGGACACGCTGTACATTTCTTCTCTCTACTTCACCATGACGAGTCTCACCACCATCGGATTTGGGAACATCGCTCCGGCCACAGATGGAGAGAAGATTTTCTCCGTGGCGATGATGATGGTGGGCTGTAAGTAAAATCACTTTCCAACACTGTTTAATATTCATCACAAACATTTCATAAAAACTTCTTGGCAAAACTGTTATCATTCAGTAGAGATCTGTAACATTTAGTCGAAGAATCAATCAGTTGACTTTTTTACTGAAATTAATTTGTTAATCTAGAAAATAACAGGTGGATTAATTGTTAGTAAAATAATGTTTAGTTGCAGCCATAAATCTAATATTATACAGCAAATAATGTCATAGCTCTACAGTTTCTTGGTATGAGCACTGGTTAATGGAGCAGTAAATGGAGTGACACATCCGTCTAATGCAGATACACACAAGCTCTTTCTATAACATGCGCACACACATACACAGCCCCCGATTAACACAAGGCCTCCAATCATCGCTTGCTCTTGCAAGCCTGGTACCAAAAGTACAAACCCTACATGTATCAATTGCCAGTGGACTGTTTGTCAAGAGAAATTAAAGTGAAGCTTCTCTGAACAGATTAAATCAAAGTGACCGCTGTTTTTCTTCTTCAATGGACACACAGTCCAACCATGACAGTCTAAATCAATCCAAGCAGAGGACGAAAGAGCAGCAGCTCTGCCGTTGTTTCTGTAGCATTCAGTGTGAAGTCAGTGTGTGCTGAAACACTTGGAATAAAAATAAATAAAAATAAATACTCCATCACAGTTATGATTGTAAATTCTCTCATCACAGGAAAAGTTTACCTCGGTGACAGACACACACATACACCAGTAGGCACGCCATTATTTCAGCCGCTATGGTATTGCTAAAGGCAGTAAGATGTTGTGCAATTAAACTGTAGCTCCTAAAATGTGACAAATATCAACTGAATCAAAAAATAACTCAATACAAACACAAAACTAATACACACTTTTATCTTTTTTAAATGTAAACGTTCCCTTAACAAAGCCTTACAGAGCTAATTTTAGCTATTGCTAGCACAGCTAGCTAGCTACCACAAAGTGTTTAGTGTAACGCTGAAAGCAGTCTAAATAGAGATTATCTGACGCTTGTTATCGTGACATAAGCTTCCTCTTTATGTCTGCTGTTACAGACGGGAAGTAATATGCAATCAGCTGTACAGCGTTAGCCTCTTCTCAATCTCCCCATTACTCTTCTGCAGACGATATACATCCTTTCATGCTGTTTTCATTCATGCGTTCATCCATTCATAATATGCCAGCCCAGTACAACCTTGCAGAAGCAGAAAAAATCTGGATGCATTCACTTGCATGCTAGTCACGTTAATGTATCCACACCCAGCTGCTAGTTAAGCAACATATGGTGTTTAAGTGCAAACACAGACAGATACAAATAAACTCAAGCCTAAAATTATCAACACAAAGCGGGTTCTGACTGATGAATATGTGGTATAGCAGAAATCAACATTGTTATTTGTTAATATCCATTATTGAAATCAATATTTGAATAATGGAAATATTCAAATGATATCAAATCATTTGATCAAAATCAACACAAAACGTGAAAATCTTCACTCTCCACAGTATTCAGTAGTTTACAGTCTCTCTTCACTCCTCTCGTGTAATCCACATATAGCTGCAGAGTCGCTGTTGCTCTCTAGGGAGAGTTTAAGACTCGCCTTTGTCGATAATAAAAAGTGACATGTTCAGCGCACATCACAGCCTGCTCTATGGGGGTTTGTCTGAAGGTTGGTCATCACAAAGCATCGTCTTCGTGTGAATTCACTCATATTGAAATTATCTTGGCATTTTTTTCTGCTTTAAATAGTTTGTTTGAACTCAAGGAGTGAATGCTTTTTTTTTTACAAAGTCACAGATGCTTAATGAAAAATATAGGGACACAACTATTTTCATGCATTAAAACAATGTAAACTGTGACAGTAAAGCAAAGAAAAGCCATTATATCTGGAGGACTTTCATTTTAAAGCTAATACAATACAACATACAATATACATTTTTCATTTGAATTATGTTATGGTTTTGAGATGTAGTGTTTTCGCATCAAGCTCTACATGTCCTGTATTGTGGAAGTCATGCAGTGTGTAGTACAGGCATGTTCTATCTAAAACAATAAGACAAACCATCCTCATTTAAATCCCTTTGAACCTCCTCATAAAAATAGAAATCTATTTTTATGCACGTGTCTGTATTATCTTCATCACCCAATGCAGTTACAGTAATACTCCACCTTCAGTGTCACTGCCTCCACTGTCAGCCTTTGCTTACAGTTCCTCCGTCACGACGCGCCTTTACACTAACCTTTGGCCCACTCCTCTAAAACAGCATGGAAAGTGATGCAATAAACACAGTGAGGCAAACACAGAGTGACAGCCACGCTTCAAGGTCTCTACTTCCAAAACTAAACACCCATTATTCTGGTGTTGTCCCGAACACGAAGATCACACAGTTAGTTACACTTTTGTGTCGGGTTCAATTACGGCCGATAAATCTCCTGCTACAGATACAGTAATTATGTGAGAGGAAGATAAGAAAGGGAGAGTTTGCCTGCAGGCTCGAGTGTTGTAAAAGGACAATGAGCCATCACGTTAGATATGTATCCTAACCTCTGGGATCCTGCTGTGGCGACTGGAGACGACTCTTTCCTCTTCAGTGCGTAAAAGCTCACGATAAGAGATACTGACTGACTCTTTGAGGTCACTGCAGCGCGGAACTTACAGAGGAGATGTGCATTATGAATTACATTATAACGCTCAATCCACTGCTAAATGATACCCTTAAATAATCATATATGCAATTTAAAATTACATAATATTTGTTTTCTATTTTGAAAGGCTCATTAAACACATCATATTTGAATAAGTTGTAATTTTTGTGATCATTATTTCATATAAGGCTTCACAAGGTTTAATGTAAATTGATTTACCCTTAACAAATGATACATTTAAGGTTATGCGAGTCTGAGGAGAAAAAGGAGTAGATAATGGTTCATCTTAACTTTGTAACCAGGAGAAAACAAAAATAATATAGTATTTTATTATGAATATACCTTTTTAAAAGGTAAAAAATGTTTAGAGTGAACTTAATTAACTTAATTTGCACCACAATTGATAATTAGTGATCCTTTTGAGATACAAGTTATCTCTTTAAAACATTCAAACAATCCATTACACATTTTTATATATGTAATTAATCCATTCATTTACACAACTCCAGATCTTAGATTAACTACGTGAATATTTTGTAATAAAAATCCTATTAATGTAAATGTTCTTTAAATTGTTTCAGCCTTAATATAAACCAACTTTCTAATGATCCCACATGGTTTCCTGGAGTAAAGCATATCCTCCCGTCTCATGTTGCTGAATAAATCAGCCCCGCATGTCAGTGTGTTTGTTTTACGCTGCTTTTTCCCCCCCCTGGGTACCTGACTGTCTTCATCTTCTGTTTTAGCGCTGCTATATGCGACTATCTTTGGAAACGTCACCACCATCTTCCAGCAGATGTACACCAACACAAACCGATATCACGAGATGCTCAACAACGTGCGCGAATTCCTGAAGCTCTACCAGGTTCCCAAAGGTCTCAGTGAGCGGGTCATGGACTTCATCGTCTCCACCTGGGCCATGTCAAGGGGCATAGACACAGATAAGGTATCATTAATATACTACAACAAATCCCTAAACTCCTAATTTACATAAAATATACAAAAGAATATATATAATTGGTTGGAAATAGCGTATTCTGATAGATCACCATTCACTGATTGGATAGAAGTCAGTAGTGCCACTAGGGTTTTCAAGTCCAAAGTAAAACTTATGCACAGCTCTGGTGCTGTAAAAATGCTAATAATTTATACAATATCATAAAAAAGATATGAGCAAGGTGGGCAGGTGGACAATAAAGAGCCTCAAACTAAGGTCACAGCAGATGTGCCCTCGTTGACTCAGGGTTCACACCTGAAGCGATGCCAGGTTATTTGTAATCATAAAGCTGTAGTAGGTCATATTTTTGCTGATCTACGGTAAAAGTGACAGCAGATTGATAGTTTAATAATTGAAATAATTCATTTTAAAAGGAAAATCACCCAGAAAAAGCCAAGTGTGTGTTGTTATATTGATAATTTATGAGCCTTTTTTTATTAAAGCCTTGTTTTTAAACATAACCTTGAGAATGAAGACTTGGCTGAAGCCGAGAAATAGATTTATTTTTAAAACAAAAAACTGTTTTTCCCTCCAAGAGCACCAGGATTGGTCCTGACAAAAATGACTTTACTATTCAGTGTGATCCATAAACGTCTTCTTGTTTGGTCTTCAGACTGTCGTTATGGCTCAATTAGTTTACTCTGATATCACAGATCTAAAGATGATTTAAAGATTATAAATACTACTAAAGGTTTGCTGTGACTGCTATAAATAAGAACGTTTATTATTCATTTGTTTTATCTTAATATATTGTAACACCTCCCCAAAATCCTGGACTTTGGAAAATGTTGACCCCAATGATAAAAATATGATGTAGAGCTAATACAGGTTGCCTTAAATACATATTCACTTTTCTGATATCTCTGTCAGGTTCTCTCAATTTGTCCCAAAGACATGCGGGCGGACATCTGCGTGCACCTCAACAGGCAGGTGTTCAACGACCACCCTGCGTTCCGCCTGGCGAGCGACGGCTGCCTGCGCTCTCTGGCCGTGGAGTTTCAGACCACCCACTGTGCCCCTGGAGACCTCATCTTCCACATCGGAGAGAGCGTCGACACCCTCTGCTTCGTGGTCTCCGGTTCACTAGAGGTCATTCAGGATGATGAGGTCATCGCAATTCTAGGTAATCTTATGCACTGTGATTAGGTTGACCGGGTGAAGTTTGATCTGTGCCTGTGGGTGGAGATAAAACCAGAGCAAAGGTTGTGTTAGTGCAAAGATGCGTTTTACTCCACTCACGAGCACTGAATATAGACACTTTTATTCCTGATAAAAGTTGTTCTCTTTCTGAAACTCTCTGTATACTCTAATTCCATCTGTTTACCATTATGTTTATGTGCTGTGTTTATGTCAATCATTCAACACTTTCTGCCTATATTAAACCCAGTGATCATGTACGGCTTTCTCCAGGTAAAGGTGACGTGTTTGGAGACGTGTTCTGGAAAGAGACCACCCAGGCGCGGGCCTGTGCGAACGTCAGAGCTTTGACTTACTGCGATCTGCACGTCATCAGGAAAGAGGCTCTGACGAGGGTGCTGGATTTTTACACAGCGTTCGCCAACACGTTCTCCCGCAACCTCATCCTCACCTGCAATCTACGGAAACGGGTAAAGATTACACTTAATGGAAGAAATATCTGTCTTTCTTTCAATCAGGTTAGTTTTCAGTGTCAAACATATTGGTTGTTTTAAGTCTTAAACAATAAACCGATGATATTAAATTACAAGTTTAGCTTTATTAGAGGGTGGACATTAAGTGTGTGGGAGAGAAACTCCCTCTCACGTGAACTTTGGGATTTTAGCATTTGCAGACCACTTACATGCACACAAACCTATATAACACATAATCCTCAGGGGTCTCCTCCTGTCCAAAACAAATGGACACTGTTATTGAAATTAAGAAGACTGTATAAAGCAGTTTCAAGTTTAAAATCAGTTTTTCTCAAGTGGTTCAATCCTTCATCTGGTGTAAATATCAAGATAAGTCAATACTAAGACTATAATTAATATTTGATGGAGCTTCTCCAGGACCAAATGTAATTCAATTAAAGCATTGAGATAAATAGTTTTCAGTATTGGTCACAACATTCTCATATATTGCTGTAATTTGATCCTCTGGGATAAAAATCACATACATTCTTAATGAACAATCCCTTTAAAGCCAATCTGCTATGTGTGCTGTTGTGCTCTTTGTTCAGGAATAGCTCAGATGAATAGGAATCAAAGATGCGTTTTTATTAAGAATATGCACTTTGATGACGGAATGAAACAACCTCACATTTACTAAAATGACACATTTTCTGTATCTAAGGTCAAGAATAGCGTGTTTACAGAAACATGCAGGTTTATAATGATTTTATAATGTTTCGAGTAACATGTACTTTAAAGGTGGGGTAGGTAATTTTGGAGAAACGAGCTCGAGTGCGCTAGAATTTGAAAATACACAGCCGGAACAAATCTGCCACTTCCTTACAGAGCCCCTCCTCCAACACACACGAACGGGCACATGACCAATGAGGGCACGAGATAAGTTTGTGCACAGATGGAAGGCTGACAGGCAGGTAGGCCATCCAGTTATTTTAGCCGGGCCGGCTAAAATGATTGGTCGTGCTTTTTACAGTACTACGGCTTCCACAGATGAAATTTTTTTATGGATTTTTTGTCAAAGCACTTAAGATATTCATTGCTATCGGGATGTTAAGAGCATTCCATGGAATATAACAAAAAGTGTATCTCGAGCCGGTTTCTCAAACTTACCTACCCCACCTTTAAGTTTACTCTCAAGTTGTTCTAGTTTGATGCAGCTCCATTTAAATAAAAGCTATTATGTAATCAAGCTAAAGCCAACAGTGAAGGAGCTCTAAATCTAAACAATTTCACGGCAAATTGTGGATTTTTGTGAAATATTTATGGCGTGTACTTCAAATGTATTCAATGAGAACAAAGTCATCTATTATTTATTTCCAGCAGCTTTAGAAAAGAGCTTGTTGCTGCTTGGCTTTAACACTTACCGTCTGCCCTCTTTACTTCATGTACTCGGTTAAAGTGCATGAATATGCATTTACTGCACATGGAATATGAGTTATGTACCTCGTGCAATATTTTGAACTTTCAGTTTTAATGTGTTTTTTGCAGTTTGTGACGCTGATTTGATTAAAACAATTTATTCTTTATTGTTAAAGTGTGCTACAGCTTGTTGAGCATTTAGATCAAAATATGACCAAGACACTTGCAGTAGTGGTTTTCTTTGTGGCTTTAAACATAAAATCTAAGTTATTTAGGTTCAGATGAACCCATAGATGACTTAATTGTTGAGGTATAATATTTTGAAATATTACTGCAGTAGCAATTGTTATTCTGGCGAGTTGGATTCGGTGGTAGGATCAGTTTAAGTTATTGTATATAGTTAAGTTATTACCACAACAAATGTGTTGTGCAAGTGAGATGCTAAGAATCATATCAATTTCCTTTCTTTGTCTTCAGAGATAATTCAGAGACCCTCAGGACCTAGATATCGCTCCATAAACATGCATTGCTGCTTTCAATCCTTTAATATTTCAACAGGTCTAGATGGTAATACTTGCTCTATAGCTGCATTATATATGTTTCATCAAAGCAGAGCTATAGTTGTATTCAAAGTAGCCTCGGTGTAAGTGTCCCACATCATTGTGCTCATGCACAGATTCTCCCTGTTGCAGGTCATCTTCAGAAAGATTGCAGACGTGAAGAGGGAGCAGGAGCGCCAGAGGAACGAGGTGACTCTCTCCATCCCCGAAGACCACCCGGTCCGCAAGCTGTTCCAGAGGTTCAGGCTGCAGAGAGACGCTCAGACCCCGGGGGAGGCCTACTTCGATCACAACTGTGTGCAGGTGGAGCCGCTGCACCACCATAACTCCGACTCAAACTTGTACACACAGTGTCAGTCTGTTCCCTCTCAGCAGCAGGAGTACAGCTCCTCGGTGCAGAATAATGCCCCCTGCACAGGAGGGGGGTCCGCAGGGAGCATGGCCGCACCTCCACAAACACTCATCCACACTGAGGCGTCGGAGCAAAGCGGCACACAGGAAGCCGGGGAGTCGATAGCGAGGCCCGGTGGAGAAAACCAGCTATGTCTGAAGGTCAACAGCCCTGCAAAGGTCACTGCTGCAGGTGGAGCTGCAGGTGGAGCTGCCGGTATCAAAGAGGCTCGAGGCTGGGCAAAGTTTAAAAGTACCGCTTCAGCCGCACCACCACCTCCTGCTGCTGCTGCTGAGCCGGAAAAGAGTCCACAGAAGGCCGAGGAGTGGCCGAAAGGGTCCGAGTCCTCAGAGCAGTTAGCAGTCCCCAACAAGAACTCAGAGGAAGGTGGAGAGATGGGGAACACAGAGGGGGGCAACGGGGCGGAGGGGACAGAGGAAGAGACGAGCGCCCTGCACAAAACTGACTCCTGTGACAGCGGCATCACAAAGAGCGACCTACGCATTGACCGAGCAGGAGATTCAAGAAGCTCGTTCGAAAGGAGCCCGATGGAAAAGAGCCCGTTTGAGAGGAACCCGTTCGAGCACAGCCTCGGGGTCGACCCCCTCAAACACTCTTTTGTTCAGCCCGTGTCCGAACAAGCGCTCCTTCAGGCCGTCCTGCACGAGGCCAAGCTGGAGCTGAAGGGAGACATTCAGAAACTGAGCGGCCGCCTGTCGGTGCTCGAGTCTCAGGTGAGCGAGATCCTCCGCCTGCTGTCGTTAAAAAGACGACTCTCTCTGCCACCGACCTCGTCCCCGAAGCCCAGAGTGAGGCACCAGGAGCCGGCCGCCGACTCCAAGCAGGGCACACCCAAAGCTGACGACGGGCCTTTTTGATTTGACTAATCATAATACCTGGATCTGTTGAGGAACTGATGAAGCACCAGTTTGCATGTCCTGCTGGACTCTGGCTGCCAAAGAAACTTGCATTAAACACTAGACTGCATGCGGAAATCCCCTTTTAACGTTACCTAAGCACTACAGAAACACAGGGGTCTTCACTTATGAGGCCCTGTGTATGTTTGAGAATGCCAAATAGAAACAATTAATGAACAAACTATTAGGAAAGTACTTATTGTTAGGAAACCTGAACATTTTAGAAGCATTGTAAACACGCAGAGATACGTACCTCATAGCTGATGAAGGCGTTTTTTGAAGCATTTTAGCCTGATAGGAGCTGAGGTCAAGTCACATTATTTCCATTCTTTCTCATTTAAGTATTTTTTTATCATTTTTATGAGTTTCCTTATCTTTTTACAGTTTTTATTACTTTTTTATTTATTTATTGAAATGTTATTTATTCATTTTATTCTAACTATTATTTGATCATGTGTTCTAGAAAGCAGGAACTTTCACGTATGTTTAATAAATGTCTCCCTCTCTTTAGTTATTAGTTGTCAGGTAATAATATGTGCCTTACAATAATAAAGCCTCGTTCAGGGTTGTTTTGGTGAGACAAAATCAACTCTATGGTATATTTTGGAGCATATGTTTTATAATAGAAATGTTAGCCTTGTTTGTGTTTTGACCCGTTACTGCACTATGCATTCATTTTAATGAACTTTTTCCAAACTCTTTAAATGGTTTTAGCTTCATTCCCATGCATGTGAAATAGGAGTAGAGTGCAATAATGGCGGTTTATTTATATATTTTTATTGTCACTTAGCATTATCTCAGTTTACTTGTGAAATATTTATTTTCCTTAAACAATTATGCAATTGCAGCGACCTCAGTGTATATTCCTTCATGTAACTATGCCTCTGGCTCAAGTATTTTGCTCTTATGTTGAATTCAATTATTTATTTCACTATTAACAGTTTCATTTTTGCCTACTGTAAGATTAAATAGTAATGGAAATTGCACTTTTAGACTGTAGAAGATTTTAAGTGATGGGTTACTACACGCTGCTATGCAACTCTAAATGAACCAGCACTGCACTTAGCGATGCAAACGTTCACATTTGTTTACTGTGCTTAGATAAATAGGAGGATGAACATGGACAAGCAGCATGGTTATAGTTTTAGTTGAAGATGTTTTCTAATTTTCTGTGCGACTGCTTAAGTATGAACTGTGAGGATGTAAGCATGTGGCTGTTATTTGATTCTATTTTATATGACATGTATAAATGACGTTGCATGCATCCAACGAACCTGTCAACAGTGAAATGAATAATGAAAACTCATGCCTGCTCACCATCTGTTGTTTAGTCTCCTCTGTTACAAAGTCAAACATGCAGACCTTTTTTAAATCTTCAACATGTATCTTTTCAAGTCAAAGTGTATGTTGTCAGTTTAATACTTTGTTTAAATTATTTCTATCTAACATTAGAGGCAGAAAAGAAACAGGTTTTCCTCATCATTGGTGATAAGGAGCTTATTTGTAAATGTAATATTTTTCAATTTCTGTATGCCAGTTCTTGTTTGAAAACAATGTGTGGGAGAAGTAATCAGATATTGTACTTGAGTAAAAGTAGAAGTACCAGAGTATAGAAATACTCTGTTACAAGTAAAAGTCCTGCATTCAAAAGGTTACTCAAGTAAAATTACTATAGTATTGGCATCAAAATATATTTATATATTTATCTTTTGATTATAATTGTTGATGCTTTAATGTGTTTATTAAAGCTGGTAAAAGTGCAGCTAGTTGTATTTACTTTGTATACAGGTTTAACTTAAGTCTAATTTGTGCCTGTCTAATGATTATATTTCACATTATTAATCAAAATCTGTAAAGTAACTAAAAGGTACTAAATAAATGTAGTGGAGTAAAAGTATACAATTTACCTCTGAATTGTAGTGGAGTAGAGGTACAGAGTAGCATAACATGGAAATACTCAAGTACAACTGTCCCAAAATTGTACATAAGTAGGCCTACAGTACTTGTGGAAATGTACTTAGTTACTTCCCACCTCTGTTGAGGACACAGATTTCCAGCATCCTGAACACAGGGTGGCACTGATGTCTAATGTTTGCCTTTGAAAACTGAACCACGCATGCGCAGAAAAACTAAAATAGTCTTGAGAGCTGAAGTTTGAACCCTACAGAGCAAACATTACGGTAGGACTAAATCATTGTAGTAAAGTAGCGCAGGGCTTTTCAAACATTACTGGAGAGACGGTTCAATGCGTTGAGTTTACTGCCTGTTGATTTACAACGGATGACGTCGCTCCTTAGTTTAATAATGCAGAGCACGAGCCAGAATTGAACGTGCAGAGATGCATGAAAGCTATGTAAAACCTGGTATTTTTGGCATATTGTATTTTACTTTCTTTGTATTGGGTCCATGGACTTTATAAAATAGCTTGGGACAAACTAAATCATTTCTGGCATACTGCATAGTTTGGTAGTAAACCGCAGTAAAGTTCGTTTTGGTTGGATATTAGATAAGACCCTCCGGTTCCAGCGTCAAACACAGTCAGAGGAAGGTGAGCTCACATCTGAGCCACAGGGTGTCACTACGGGACCATCAATAGATTCAATACATGTTACCAGACTGACACAAAACAATGTTTTATGTCCATACCTTCGTTCTAACTTTTATAACTAATGTGTGATTTGTATCAATAGATTCGATGCCCTGTGGCCCAGTGACTCCAAATCCAAAACAGATAGGATTTCTACAATGGATAAATAAGACACACCTCTTTCTATTGGATTTTGGTGCTTTTTCAATTTTACATGAATATTGTTATTACATTCTGCAGTTTGTTTGGCCTTTAACAGTTATATTTTACACACCACAAATAAGACACACCTTTTCTTAGTGCTTCTTATTTATACTTATTGTTATTAACATTCAGCTGTTTTAATTTGCCCCATTGAGCCTGCAATGCGTGAATGTTTTAAATGAGAAGAAGCAGTTGTTTTGTTATAACTGTAATCCAGATTTGAAATTGTGTTTAGCCAACAAACAAAAAAAGTGTTGTCAGAAGTGGGATTCGAACCCACGCCTCAAGAGGACACTGCGACCTGAACGCAGCCATAATGGCGCGTTTCCACTACAGCGCGGAGCACGGTTTAAGAGGGCTGTGACGTCAGCGGCCCGTCTTTGGTTGCGTTTCCACTTGGCCTAGTACCGGCCGGCGGGTCCTAATTCACAGTTTTTCTGGCCTCATAAAATCGCGGGGCTAGGGCCAGAGACAACGAGGCTGAGTCGGGCTGAGTATGCTAAACTAGAGAGAGGATCGCTGGCTACAACTACAACAAGATGGACATATTTGACCGTGATTTAATTGTAATACACGTTTCAAAATGATGCCGAAGTAACAACATACTGATACCGGTTAGTAAAAACCATGAATTAATGCTTTGTCAAGTCTGCAGATAGACGGCAGGCGAAAAACCTTTTAAAATGCGTGTTTTCTAGATGGAGATTGGCTAAGCTAACGCAGTATATGCTCCGACCGTCCACACTCACAACAACGGCCTATACAGACATAAATAAAGCAGCGACTGTATTCACCATGACACAGGCAGTCTGTGGTTTGTACTTGTTTAACTTTTGTCTAGTTTCTGAACATATATGAGGAGCTGTGAGCTCTGAGTGCTAACAGCTAACGGCTGTGTTGTTTTTCTGGGGTTCTCATTGAAGATCACGTCACGGCTCCGCCTACACTGCGTTACTATAGATACTACCCCAGTTCCTAAACTGTAATGGAAATGCGCCATAAAGTGAGCCAGTCCTAACGAGGCCCAGCCATACCGAGCGGGGCCGAGCGAGGCCGTGTAGTGGAAACGCGCCATAATCGGATGGCCGCAGTCCTCGAACATTACTTATAGTTAAGCTATAAAAGAAGCTCAAAAAAGAAGTTGTAGCCTGCAGCCGTCTTGCCAGTGCCACTAATCGAGACAACACCCACATGTCACTCAAAGACGCAACTGAAAATGTGTTTAAGCCGATATATGATTAAAATGGGTTACATAATTGAGAATACACCCCACGTACAAAACAGACGTGGGGTGTATTCTAAAATAGGAAGTTTTAGCGTGAAGTTGGGAGTCACGTTGTGAGTTTGAATAGGACGTTAAAGCGTGTGGACGTCACTATTGCCTTGACGACGTGAAGTAGTTTTTACAGATTCTTATTCATTTTTCAATGGAGGTTAAATGCATTTCAAGAAGAAGATGTAAGGTTATTGTGACTGGATGAGATGAGCTGCTCTCGAAACCTAGGCTAGTTTCTGTAGTATCACTGCGCCATCATTCTTCAACATTTGGCCAATCATAAGCAAGCTTTGACCGCATTACTGTAGTATCACTGCGCCATTATTTTCACTAATCGAGACAGCACCCACATGTCACTCAAAGCCGCTACTGAAAATGTGTGACAGGCAACCGATATATAATTAAAAACGGGTTAAATATTGAAAAATACACCCCAGTTTAAACGGGGAATATCAGCTAATGAGACCAGGACCTACTTTTTGTTGCAAACTGTTAATGTTAGCTTTGGTGTGAAGTTAAGGAGTCACGTTGTGAGTTTTGAATAGGACGTTAAAGCGTGTTTACGTCACTATTGCCTTGACTACGTGAAGTCATTTTTACATTTTCTTTCTTACTGGTTAACAATGCATTTCAAGAAGAAATGTATGAATAGTACAGCGGATAAGCACAACAATTGTGCATTTTATGAGAAAAGCATGACATTTCTAACATAGTTAGTGCATACCATAAGGTTTATTTTCAGATGTGGAGGGAAGTCAGATTTGACCTGTGAGGACCAAGCCCCCAGGAAGTGCGCCGGACTCAGATGAAAATATTCGTGCTGGCCAAACGGCGGTACTACACTTCCTTTTGGTTGCCAGGCCCGGAAACACTTTTTCCCATTGACTTACATGGGGAAAGAGTGGTCTGTAAATCGTTGGATCATTTTTTTTAAACTAAATAAACTACCCAGTATGAACACTTGTATAGCCCTTATTAAAAACATTCGTTCCTCAAGTTGTAAAAATGTGCTAATAACGTTATTCTGAGAGTTATTTCCCTCTGCATTATGAACGCGCATCTAACCCACGGGACCGCGCCGCCCGGCACATTCATGTTACGTGTTCAGCACTACATGCGTTTATCTTTACCCATGGATGCACAATAAGAACGGACCCATATCGCCTTACTGCCAGCCCACGGAGCTGTAATAATGGATATATTGCACATGTTTGCTGTAATTCATCATTTGTAAAATATTATACTACATGGGCTGTATGATTAAATCTTGTACCGTAAATGTTGTATTAAATAAAGTTAATATTACCGACGTAGATTAACGTCCCTGTAGCTTCTTATTGCACTAAGAAGCTTATTGCACTGTATATATATACATATATATATATATATATATATATAAATACAGTGCAATCATTCTTTCATGCTAAATGAAGCTCTGTTGCTTGGATATCACTAGATCCTGTTACAGCGTAATATAAAAGTACATAACGATTGATGTGTAAATTAGCATAATTACTAGCTAACCGCTAGCTGCTAACTGCCGCCTCGTTAATATCAAATCTATCATAACAAACCATTACCATGCTGTCATAAACGTGCAGTGCTGTTACGTGTACGCAAATTGACGTGCTTGATGTGAACGAGCATTTTGGGGGGCATGGTTAAAGTTGCGCATGTGCTATGAGCGCACATACGGGTACTTCTCAGGCATGCCGGGTAATCTGTGACGTTTCGCTCTCTCAAAAGTTGGGCCATTTTATCATCATGCGCGAATGAGCAACTCTCATAGGAATGAATGAGGCCCCGCCTCCCACGCTGTATCAAGTTCTTATTATACATCCATGGTGAGGACCGTGAGAGGTCAAATCCAAGATGGCCGCCAGTCTCTCGGGTCAAATGTTCAAACACGCTTAATTTTGAAACCAAACATTGTAGAAAAACATTTAAGGTGTCATATCCAACTAAATTAGGGATGCCCAATCATTTGATGATACTTTTGAGATCGCCAGAATTCAAGAAAATGCATTTAGGTGAAGATAAAGGTAGAAATTAACCAAAAATAAGCTGTCAATCAGTTGAAAGTGTGTGTGTGTGTGTGTGTGTGTGTGTGTGTGTGTGTGTGTGTGTGTGTGTGTGTGTGTGTGTGTGTGTGTGTGTGTGGTCACCCAGCGCTAGCATTAATACAGAGACTGGAGGAATATGGCTTTACTTGGCACAGTCTGCATGCTGAAGCAAACATTTGTTTTTGTCTTCAAATACATACTTACATGATTGTGACGAGCATAATATTTGCTCCCCGCCCAACTCTCTAAGTGCTTGAACTCCGTGACAGGAGGATGAAGTATGTATAAATGGATGGAACTATCAACAAAACAACAGCGTTTTATTCCCCAATGTCATATTTAATAGAAAAATAATGATGCACCACTTATTGGAGAAAGAAGAATGGGGAACAGAAAGGTTTAGAGAGGGACAACATGCTGAAACCTTGCAACTTCAGTGCCAGAGAAAAAAGGTACTGTGAGTACACTTGTGGTTATTGTCCTCATGTTGCACATAGAACATTCAATTAAGATGTTTACCGCATGTGGGCAAAAATCCATCAATCTTTCAATTTTCTAAAACTTGTTATATCCTTAGAGTCATTTAAAATGAGTTATTTTCTCCATGCCATGGAGTCTAAATGGGTAAACCTTTGTATTTGTAATTGTACAGCCATGCTAGGACAAACAAATCCCCTTTGCCAATGTTCTCTCTGCACTCTCTGTCACACACACAACATACATAACCCTTTCTTTGCATGACCTCTAAATGTCCATGTGAGCCACTAAAGAACAGAAAAAAAGCTGCGCTACCTTGGCTTTATAGGTGGACAGGCAGGGAATCGAACCCCAACCCTCTATAAGTGGAAAGGGACAGCGGTGAACCTTATAGTTGAGTGCAGCCCTTTGTTAACAGCGAGGGTTAAGAGAGCTGTTTGTGCTCTACATGGAACTGTTTTCCATCTCCCTCTTTGGTTTACATTATTATTATTATTTTTCTATTAAATATGACATTGGGGAATAAAACGCTGTTTTGTTGATAGTTCCATCCATTTATACATACTTCATCCT